TTATGCGTGTATCTCTGACGAATATCACAGACACCTACGAGAGTTCCAAGCTGATTGCTGTGCACACTAGTACATAGACGTTTCGCTCACGGCACTCTCTTAATTGTCGAATAGACACGTAGCAACCGTTTCATTCTGCAGGTGCGATAGAGACGGGGACGGGTATACTTGAACTGAGCAATAGTACGACATGATGTACCGTAGTACTCAGTGTATATGGACACTTAAAGTCTATCTTTTTGAAGGACATGTACTGCACTCAAGCGTTGACAATCTCTCAGAGATCAAAAGGCGAACTAGTACTGCTTTGACTTGATCTTTAACAAATATATCCGGTACATAAATGACAATGTCGAACAGAATTGAGAACAAATCAGACACTACATAAAAAACTTGTGGCTCGGGTCTATGTAACTACATATCGAAGTAGTTGATTTCTAAGTGAAAACTTATAGTACACACCAAATTCACAAGCACAATTGGAGTATAATTGTGGACTATTATTCATATATACAGTAACCGCTTCAGTATGACATATAATCAAACTAGGGTGTTTAAGAATACACTATTTTTCCCATTTGTATCAGTATATCAACCTTCGCAATAGCTTGCTGATGCACGTGGAAAATTATTTAATTATAGTCAACTTCGTGGAATTGGTTTAAAAGCTACTTCGTGGAACACTGCGCTTCGGTGGCATGCGAAAAACCCCCTAACGGTACCCAAAAGATGAATGGCTCAAGAAGTGGTATTAAATTCATTTATATCTCACTCAGTGTATGTTAGTTTTCCTGTGACTGTAAGCAGGACTGTTGACTTTGCCCAAACAGGCTTAATGTTGTGCAATTTCATATTTCCATTCATTGCTAGTGATCGTAACACTCAGATGGTTCCATGCACTTTGTGATAAGCTGTTTAACAGCAAAATATCGCAATGCGACTGTGAAAAAAGATACGCGGTCCAGGCACAGGCTCCGACCACTTCGAGAGCGACGACACTATTCGGAAACCTCTGCGAAAAGAAAATGATGGATACGTTTTTCATTGTGAGCTGTCAATAAGTTGGTAATTGAGAAGTCCTGCTGCATCCTGCATATCTATATATATATCAAACGTACAATCTACAACGAACAACAATATTTAATAATAATTAAAACATATTCATCTACATCATGTTTAACGCCAAGGTGACATACAGTTGGAAGCAGATGTCGCAGCGTCTCCGGATAATTTTTGTGACGGGTTATCCCCGGGTGCGTCTGAGGTGTCGAGTTTCTTTTCCATATCCGAGCCTTTTTCGATCGGCTCCTTCTTTGAAGGATATTCAGATCCTGGGGAAAGAGGTGGACTCTCTCCGGTTCCTTTTGCTGGGTTGTTCATTCTTAATATAGTATGTGTTCTCTTCTCTGTTGATGGTTGAAGTGGAAGTGATGTACAAGTTATGTCTATGTTTCAATATATACTTAATCTCGTGACTAACTGGCCACTTGGTTTTCGTGGCGCATTCGGCCTGTGCGGCGCCGATACAGTCTTTCTCCAACCAATAAGTCCTGATCTGGCCCAGGTCTGTACCACGTAAATGTCGACCTAAACCACAATTACAAATTTGGGCGGATGAAATGACGACAATGAGTATTATACTCGCAAATTGCACTTCGAATAGAGTATGTATTCTCCTCTCTAAAGTGTATAATAGGTATGTTATCTCTCTCTCTCTACTAGTGTAGATTGAGAGGGAGAGGGAGAGAGAGACGGTGATACTAATACAAAATATTTGCCAGGGTTCCATTCAGTACACCTATTATGATTGGACGTTTGTTTTTTAAAGGAAAGACTCAGTCCCTACATAAAGAAATTTTTAGTTTTTCGCCTTCGGAACAATTGTCTTTCATCAACCTAGTCTTGCTGGTATGCATACCGATGTATCATTTTATATTTTCCTACACAAAACGTATGAAGATGATGAACTGATGATGAACATGATCAAATATCAGTTGATCACATGACGCGTCGTCTTGAAATCGTGAAATCGAAAATTTCAGAATTTGATGACAAATTAACATACAATTTTAAAGCATTTTTTTCTAAATCCGTTGTTAAAAATTCCAACAGAATACGTACTATTTATTGGCTATTAACGGCCAATTGGAACTATTACACAGTACAATGGATGTAAAGCAATGGTAAATGCTGTGCATCTATTTTTTTAATATTAAAAACAGGATGTACAAACGGACCGACCTCTGGACAAATGCACTGGCTTCTAAAAAAAAATGTTCTCTTGTATTGATTTTTAAAGAAATATACATATTTATGTATATACTTTGCATTTGTTTATACTAACATAGTAGACACGTGCCCGCGCAGGTACTAGCAAGGATGTACCCATTCATGGAAGGTCGCATCGTCGCTTCCCTCGCAGTGACGGCATTGAACAGTGGATTGGGGCAATACACGTACAATATGTAACTTAAAAGTACTAAACAATGAACTCGCAAAAAAGACACATAATTTGAATATTATAGCATATTTTATCAAATTGATGCGACTGGAAATTTAACTATCGTTCTACGGGTATGTGTCCAATCTGGCACAATACGCTTGAAGTACATGTCTCCGCGTTGCCTTTATTAAATTGTACATCTATAATATGACAGTCTATATTTAATTGTACATCTACTGAATGACAGTCCATCCATATGTGCACAAATATGTATGTAAAATATATATATACATATATACATGCATACATATAGACATATAGACATATAGACATATAGACATATAGACATATAGACATATAGACATATAGACATATAGATATATAGACATATAGACATATAGACATATAGACATATAGACATATAGACATATAGAC